TAATACCGTATTTTTTACTCCCTGAACTATTTAATAGTGTATTTTAAAGGTATATATGTGCCCACGTGGACACATTACTATTTATAATATTGCATTATTTTTTATGTCCACGTGGACAAATATATATGTTTAAAATACGGTATTAAATAGTTTAGACATGTAATAGGTCCTCATGAAAGTTTAGTATCGCAACAGCAAATCCGACCAAAGTTGGGATATTTTTCAGACCCTTATCCCTAATATAAATGCAGTATACTTGCAGATTTATTTTAATTTTTAATTTATAAAATATTAAATTATTTTTTTACTTTTTAACTCACTTGAATGACAGCGATTAAACTTCAATTTTTATTTTATTTTTTACTAATCGCTGCCATGACAGCGATTAGCAAAAAAAAATTAAAAATTAAAGTTATGTAAAAAAAGAATTAATTCCTTAAAAAAACGCTGCTTTTACTTTTAATTTTTTTTTTATAAAAACACTGCTATAGCAGTAATTTTAAAGAGAATTTTTTTTTTTTGAGAAAATTGCTGCCAATTTTTGTCAGAATAAAATCGCTCCGTCAAAAGCGATTTTGCCCTTTTGAATATTTTTTTTTTTTTGATATATCGTTTTTGTTTTTTGAAGGAAAAAAATTGCCAACTTTGGACTCATTTTTACCCTTGGTAATTGTGTCATTGTAGACCGAAGATGTTTTACACAAAAAGTTTTCAAGTGATTTTGTCAATTAGCATGACATTGGACCACCCAATCATTTTCCAACTTTTGGTCCATTGAACACTATCTGTAGCTTGCATACCACATGGCTGATCCTTTCATATTTTTTTTGGTTCTTATCATATTCAACAACTAATTAAGACATATTGATTTAATGAAATGATGATGAGGTAGTGTAAATGTTTTCTATTATGCTATCTCAAATCATTCCCTCCATGAACGTGGCCAGATCATGACTTCATCAATTACTAATCCAGCTGCCAATGGACCAAAATTATCATATGTTTTACTAGGATTCATATGGTAGGGGTGTGCATGTCTTGTATTATTTTTAATATGTCTTATAATAAGATCCTCTTAATGCTCTAACGCCTCATGCTGGAAATGGAGTGAACTGTCTCACGTACCCTTATATTAGGCAAACAACTCAACCCTTGAAAATGTACTATAGTTTCAGGTGATGAGGAACTGACATAGAAGTGTCAAACCTTCTTAATTATCAATGTGAGCGATTGGACAAGATCAACTTATTATCCACTAGTAATTTCTATTTTTTGTGCGACGACCTTTCATTCGTCATTATTGAAGCATTAAGACTAACTTTGCCCAAATTCGATGGTGTATCTTGCAGACAAGCTCCCTTCTGATTTTACACTCGAGGGCCATTTTCTGTCATATCCAAATAAACATTTTCACGCTTACGTCACATAGAAACTGTCTAGTAGATCCATAGCGAATAGCCGTTGACTTAGTTGCTTTTATGGTTTATTTTAATCTTGATATTGATTCGATGCAGCTTACCGATGATAGTCATAGTACCATGCGAGAGAAAAAATATAATTCCCCAATGTCATTGATTACCTTTCTATATTCTTGTCGTCAAGTTCCCTTCTAATTTTACACTCAAGGGTCATTTTCCACCTTATCCAAAGAGATAATTTTACGCCTACGCCCCATAGAAATTGTCTAGTAATATTAGATATTTATAAAAACAACTCAAAGTACAATAGGACCTATTTGTGCAAAACCAAACTATTATTTTCCTCTTATTTTGACTAATTAGGGAAATATTGTCCTCTTGTGAGTAAAAATCTATTGTAAAATTACCTAGTGTAGGCTCCACTATCTCTTTTTTACCTGACATTTTGTGCTTGGATTAGGTGGCATTTCCGTTATTAAATTGAATTTTAGTGTCAAATTGTGGACCGATCACATGGGGAGTAAAGATCGATAGAGACGAGGTGAAACAGAAAACTACAAGAGGCGCACGTGACGTGACTAGTAATCAAAATGTCTCACCCACGCGCCACTTGTGTTCGTGAATTGCAATCGCTATTTTATTTATATATATTATTTTTAACGGAAAAGGGTCAAATATATCCCTATAGTATTGGAAGTGGCTTAAATATATCACTCGTTATACTTTTGATATACCCT